TATATTACAACCAAAAGAAATATGGGAATATTGATTTCTCACAGACACATACCACAGGTCCATGATGAACCCTCGGCTCGCGAACGTCATATTCAATCCAATCGAAGCGCACTTTAACGACATCAAGCAAACCTGAATTCTTGGGTTGTGCTCAAACTCTCTCAGACAGTCCTGTCTCGCTGCAAGTGTGAGAATGATCGGATGTCTGGAAACTTGAGACTTAAAAATTGACTTACAAGGGGCGTGATATCAGGGTTGACTTAGGATAGTAGGAGTTATAAACGATCTGAGATTCGGTATTGATATTCAAATTGAGTTAATTGACACAGAATACGCGCCACGATAGAAGATGCACGAGTTTGATTGTTGTTGTGTGAAACTAGCAAAGTTGATACTATGAAGTCACTCGTCAGTTAACTGTAATCGACATAAATGTCCCACAAACATACCGGCTATCGACATCGACCCGTTATACATCAGAGTGTCTACATCCTCACGTTGCAGGATAGACTCCACAATCTTCAGGAATCCCACGAACTGAGAGAATACCACCACCTTCTCATATGGGTTGATAGCCCAGGCATCCCTTAACCGCTGTACGAATACGTCTATCTTGGTAGAAGACGACATGGCCCCGTACTTTGTGATACCGTCGATAATCCGCTTGTTCAGCTCCGCTTGGGTTCTACGAGGAAATGTGAGGTGGAAGGTGGTCATGAAAGATGTTGACTTACCTTTATAGCTTCATTTGCAGTCATTTCAGGATTTAAACTACAAAACAAAAAAGCGAAAAACAGAGATGATAAAAATAGGTATACACACACATATATGTATTTCTAGAGTTGGCATAGATACGCATAGATACGTATACACACACGCACACCCATATATATATATATATATACATATATACATATACATAATATTTATATATATATATATATATATATATATATATATATATATATATATATATATATAGTAGTGTGTGTTGTGTGTGTGTGTGTGTGTGT